CTCACTGAGGTATCGATGAATCGCAATGTCATGTGCTCAAGGCGCATTGCAATCTCGGCCAACAGAACATCACGTCGAAGGTAGGGTCGAATCATCCCAAGATTCGTGAAGCACATCGAGAATCTCCTCTTCCATTTCCTGGAAAATACTCAAGTGATCAGATTGAACGGAGATATTAATCACAAGATATACCGGAATAAGGCGATCGTCTCACCTTCACATTGAATGACTTAGGAAGGTCTTTAAATTCATGAGAATCGAATTTCCCAAAATCGAACGACTCATCCTTTTCCACGTCTGAACAACATCTGTTGAAAAACTGACTGAGGTAAACAGATTTCACAACTAATTGTGTTGCTTGTTTTGACAATCTCCCATTGTTTTGACATTTTTGCCTCTGGTTCCAAAAACTGGCCATCAGGAGTTAAACAAAACTCACTGCTTTCTTCCTGTGTGAAGAAACTAGTTATCCATCCATACAATCCACGACCGTCTTCCTTTTGTACTGGGTTCAGTGAATGTGAAGACGGTATCTCCTTCCAGTGGACTGTCAATCGTCTCGAACGTGTCCTCAGCCAGAGCAGACAACTCTACCCCTTTCGTTTTGCTCTTTTCTCGCATTATACGACGAAACACTGTTTCACGGAATAAATGTAGCTCCTGAACGTGAAAAGAGAAATCACTAATAAACGCAAAAAACAGAATTGGGATCAAGAAATGTGCTGAGAAGGCCACATGATCGGATTCAAGCTGGAGCAAGGGGTCATGAAGAGTTCCATGGAGAGATGGAGAATGACATCAAGAAAAACTTCAGCCACGGCAGAGTTCTTTTTGGCTATAAACAATGGGGACGTCAAGGAGGGGGGACCAAGTGGCGTACTACGCTGGAGAGAAGGGAATATTCAGACATAATTAGGAAAAAAATCAAGAGCATGACCAGAACAGTTTGGGCTGAAATTCAGTTTAGCGTAATTCGGTAGCCTGATCGCCAGATGAATGCCAAACGGAATCAAAGGAGGTTGTGGAATTCATTGAAAAGCTTGAAGAAATATCTCTAACGAATTTGTATTTGCCAGCCTTTTTCGTACGTTTAATGAGCAAGGGATGGAATTTAGTATGAACTGAATGCTTCAATGAATACAGTTCTTGCTAGAGCAGCAAAAGTCGGAAATCGGAGTTTCTGAGTTCACACCGACGTATGCGAAAGAGTGAATGTAGGGCTTCGAGGAGGCTCCGACGGAATGAAAATGGATAAGAAAGCGATAAAAATGTATTTCTTTTGGACACGGCTATTGGGGCTGATAGCTCAAGAGCAATATATAACAAAAAATTGAATACAAAACAAAATGGAATTTCATTTTATGCGAGAAGAAATGTCAGAAGAAAGTAGCGAGGAGATACAGTTACTTCCAAACTCGAGAGATAAGGTCACTCATAACTTACATGATATGTGTACTGCGAGTCTCGCTCTATTTGTTTCATAATTGCCACATCTTCGTGAGAGCCCGCAGCCGGGGTTGACCCTTTACTAGGCGATCCTTTGCTTGCATTTATGCTTTCAGCACTGCTTCGCCTAAAAACCTGCTCAAGTACATACATACTTTTTTCTGTGATGAGTCTTAGAAGGGGATTTGGAATTAATTTGCAGGCCTCCTCATTCCCTAAGCTATGAACGATTAAAAATAAAGGGAAGTGTAATAGTACACAAATTCGGCTTTCTGAAGCGTTCTCAAAGGTTTTCCTCCCCTCACTCCACCTCCTTCCAACCTCACCACAAAGGCGGGGGATACTGGTGCAACGGTATTCCACGCATTCCGCCAACTGGGGGCTAGAACTGTGCGTCTATCTGTGAATAGACCAGGAATCCCTTAGAAATTCATTTGCTTTCCAAACAAGAACTCGTAGGGTAAAGCGCGTATCTGTGTGACAAATAAGAGGAGTAGAGAAACTACCTCTAATACAATAAAAACTAAATATGGTCCCTGAGGAAATATAAACCACAACCCGCTCCACAAGTCCGCTTCTGAAACCCCCATCTGAATAGAGATAAAAGCTTGGATGGCAGACGACAGGTGAGTCCCAGATATTGAATCAAACAAGGATGCGTCTATTTGCGCAATTTTTTACAAAACTGTCAAAAAAAGAATCTCCAGTTAGCTACTGTTATCGAAGACCTAGCTGTATGTTTCAGTGGATGTCCAGTAGTTCGGACATACAGCGGAGTGCGAATTGAATAAAACCCTTGTATCTGTCTGGGGATCATTCAAGCGACTACGTATTGGAAACAAAACATTTGAATTATGTTGTGACAGTAAATAAAGGACCTCGTGATTGCACATTGGCAGTGATACAAAACAGAGCGACGAGCAGCGAGCTACGCAGTTAAAACTGGATCATCTATCAGGCCTGAGAAGACGCGCCGATATATGCTCTGCAATAGCGTTCATGATGCGTCAGAGCAGCGTGGTCAGCGCAAAGTGCATGAATCGTCGTGACTGTACTCTACGAGTATTCGGTCGGCTAAACTCGATTGTAGGCAAATCGCCACCAGGCAGAAGCACTGAAAAAATGAACCATAGAGCTTGCTAAGTATTCAGTCTTGCGTTGCACTTGCGTTTCAAACGACCGTGGGCAGAGCTAGGACAACAGTTACAGCAGAAGTTGCTAAAGTGGCTTCAAAGACACCTCGAATGGACAATGCCCCATATTCCATACTCTTTCTGATTTCCCTTTTTTCCTTCCCTCTTTACGAAGCTAATTTTTGAACAGATTACTGATCTTGAGCCCATGAATTACGAAGTATACATTTTGTTGAAAACGCGCTTCAGATGCCAACCTAAATGATGTCAAGGAAACTATGATTCAAAGGACGTCCTCTTCAAAATTAAAAAATGAATATTATTTTATTAAGCAGGGAGGGCGAGTTCTCATGGAGCTTTGACGTGGGGATTGACACAGTCAAGAACGGTTGTTACAAATATGGAGATCAGAACTACTACCCCACACTCTAAGCAAAATGCCGACATTTCCATTCTGTCCGCAATTTTGCCCATAAAGGTAAATAGGTAACCTGGACATGAATTTGAAATACGATTTTCACATGATCTTTGCCTATCACCTCCATATTTGTGACTAGCGTTCTTGACCCTATCAATTCTCTAGGCTACACAGTTCCATGAGAAGAGTTGCTCCATGAGTTCCATGGAAGCATTCCCTGCCTTAGCTTTCAACCAAAATTTGAGGAATCCTAGCCCGATCTTTCAATGCTCTTACTTCTCTCCGACATGAGTCAATGGTCGCCATTTCCTGTGCTGACGCGCTCGTTCGAATCGTGCCCATTCTCTGTTCAGTGCCCGCAACTCGGCTATTTGCCGACGAGTCATTTCGACCGTTATCTTTTCAGGACGGAGGAAAAACTGAATATGAATAGTAGTGCAACTGGAAAAAAGCAAATCAAAGCAATTTCCCGATCATTAGCTCACCTTGAATCGAGGCGTAGGTCCTTTCAATGGAAATTTACTGGAATTGCGTTCCATACGCAGTTCTGCACTACAAGGATGTATGATAAAAGTACTAGGGGTATTTTCTGGTGCTAGTATATCCTGGAAAATCATAGCTTGAACAAATAAAGCAAGTTACCAAGGTATTTAAGAAAAAGGATACATTTAAAAAAATACCCGTAAGTTCTTTGGTATATCTATATCTTTTGACATCTTCGCATCCGAATTCCAATACATACTAAATCCCTTCAGTTCTAGCTTTTTGAAAATATTTACACCATTCTGTGGCTCAATGAATCCAGGTTTCTGAAAATTGCTGTAGAAATCCAGGAAAATCCTAGAAACTGAACAAATAAGAAACACACGACTTCCGAAAAAGAACTAGAACGCCATGTGAGAGCTTGTTTATTAGTGCAGCTAATTTTAAGTGTACTAGTGACGTTTCTATACGTTCTACAGTATCCTTCGATTCGGAAAAGAGTACCGTCGACACGAGGAGGAAGGGAAGGCGGTAGATAGCGGTCAATCAAGTGTCAAATTCCCTTACTTCACTTTAACACGCATAGAAGGTTAGATAGGCCGCGCTTGAAAGGGTACTGTACTCGAAAGGGCTATTGCTTCGTAGCCGATTTCCTTTGTACGATTTTCTTCTTCAATTCTTCAATCTTCAAAATTTCGATTTTCTTCGAGTAAGAAAAAATAGATGTAGTGATGGAATACCCGTCTCGCCTCTGACATCGGCTCACACAATCCACTTTATGTGGGCGGCGGTATGTTCCAATACTGGCTCATGATCGAGTGGTAAATAAAAATCGAAAGGT